GGGCCTGGTCTTCACCCCTTCCCCCGCTGCCCTCAGCCTCTGTGCCAACGGCCCAGGCGGGACCCACCTTCACCAACTCCTTTGACCAGAGTTGGCTGCTCCAGCCAGCTGGTGCGCCCTGGCCTTCTCTGCGCACCCTGCTCTGGACACCGCGGCGCCATGTCGCTACCACAGGAACACACATCACCTGCCCTGGGATGTGACTGAGCGCATCTGTGGGCTGCCCTGTGGCCTGGGGTCTGGGTCAGGTGCAGGTGGCACTCACCTCTTCCACCTCAGCACCGCCCACCCCAGGACCACACCGAAGGCCTTAGGAAGTGTGCATTAGGCAAGTGAGTGAATGAATGAATGAATGAATGAGCAAATGGATGGATGGAGTGAGATGGGAACATCCTCTCCCAAGCTAGGGAAAGCACCCCCTCGGCCACACCCCCTCTGCTATCTAATTGGCTGTCCTGCGAGTCTCCAGACCACTCAGGAACCCTCTTAAATGTATGAGTGAAACCTGTTTGTTTCTTCACATCACAGGGTCTTCCCAGACCTCCACAGGCTCCCTGGGGGGGAAGCCCAGGTGCACAGCAGGGCAGGGCAGCCCTGGGGACAGTCACCTGCCCCCTGAATCCATGTCCCCTCTAGGCCCTGAGCCCCCTGTCTTTCTCAATCTATCTGCTGTAACAGCTCTCTCGTTCCGGGGTGCATTTTTCTGTCCCCCCCCCCCACCCCACCTCCATCTGCCAGTCTCCCTGTCTCTCCTTTCACAGAAAGGGTACGAACATTCTTTGGCATGGAAGTCTTTGTCACTCTCACACCAAAAGGAAGGCCTGGTCTCCACCCTCCCTCATTCTTTCTTCCACGCCAGCAGGGGCCCAGTCCCCAGCCTTGTATTGCGATGGCCTCTCAGCCATCAAACCAAACTCATTGGTTACTTTCGGGATTTTCCTTGTTCTCAGCAGCATTTCAGGGCTTCCTCCCGGTCTCCGCCTACCTCATAGTCACCCCTCTCCCCCTCTCTGCTACATCCTCTTCTGCCCTGTGCAGATGCTCCCCCCACCCCCACCCCTCGGGCTGTGTCTGCTTCTCTGTCTGCACTGACCTCCTAGGTCACCTCATCCAGTCCTCTGGCTTTAATCGTTTCCTATATGCTGACCTTTCCAAAATTTGTATTTCCACCTATGACCTCTCTTCCCCAGCTCTAGTCTCACATTCCCAACCAGCAACGTGATACTCCGACTTGGGTTTCTCACAGGCCTCTACAAAGGAGGGCTCTGGATCGGGCCACCAGAATCCTGACTCCTTCCCCTGGGGCCTCCTGGTCTGTTCCCAATTAAGGATTTCCTCTTCTCATTTTGCTTCTTCACTCCTGCCTCCTGCAGCATCCAGTTCATCACTGTAGGTTCTGCCTCCAGAATCTCACTTCTCTCCACCCTCACCAATGCCCCATGGGGCCAGGCCACCAAGGACAACGGCTCCCTAACTCCTTACTGACGTTTTCACTCTGAAATCGATTCTCAGCACAGCTGTGTGGTGCTGTTATTTTGGTTTTCAATGAAACTATAATCATGTCATCGGGCCTGTGCTCGATCCCCACGGAAACTAGAAATTCAAGTTAATTCCCAGGGCTGAAAGGTCCTGCCTGATGGGCCCCCAGCCTGCTCTGACCTCACCCTGATCTGCTGGCCCTCATTGCCGACTTGCCTCTCTGTTAGCCTGCCCACCACCTCCAAGCATCCTGGCCACCCTGGGGCTCCTCTGGGTTTTGGCGCTGCCTTTGGTGGCCAGAACACTTTCCCTGTCCCTTTTCTACTCACAACCCCAGTCTCTGTGTAAAGGTTACCTCTGCAGGGAGGTCTCCTCCAGAGCCCTGCCCCCGAGGGGGTCCATACATTCTGCTAGGTTTTTTAAGCTGTTCCCTGTAACCCAAATTCTCATTTGCCTCTCCTGTGAGTTCCAGGAGAGCAGGACTTTGGCTATCCACTCAGCCAATGCCTGGGGCCTCGCCAGAGTCTAGAACAGGATGGTGCTCAGTGAATACTTCTCAAATGCTGAACACAAGAAACCAAGCAACAGAAATGGCTCACTCCTACATGGCACATTTTCTCCTGGGTCTCTGTATTTCTTTCTGGGCAGATCTTGGGATATTTCTCTGTGGTTCTGTCTCTCTGCATATTTTTTAATGTCTCTGCAATGTCTCATTTCTCTGTGTCAGTTTCTCTGGTCCCTTTGTCTCTCCTCTCTGGATCTCCCTCCTTTTTCTCAGTCTGTGACTCACCTGGTTTGGATCTCTGTTGTCCCCATCCTTCTTCCCATTTCCCTTCCCCTGTATCCCTGCCTATGCCCACCCCCTACCTCTTTCTTGTTCTCTGGCCTTTGGACTCTAGACTCCACAACCCTCCACCAGTTCTGCGCCCCCTCCACCAGAGCTCCAACTCCCACCAAACTGGTTTCTAACCCCACCTCTCCATCGCCCCCCTTCCATAGATCACCCTATACCAAGTTCTCCCCTCTCAATAATGCATATTCCTTCCCCCCACATTGTCTGGTATCTCTGACACTGTCGCCATGTCATTCCTTGCTGGTCCCCTCCCTCCAATCTCTCTCCCCCTTTCTAGTCCTTCCACAGGGGTCTCTGGGGGAAGTCCCCAAACCCATTCTCCCACGGGGAAGTCCCATCCTCCTCTGTCCCACCATTTTCTGCTGCTCCCTGTTGTCACAACACAGGCTGACAGAGCCCCAAGCATCATGGGGCCCTCACTGCCCACTCCTCCCTGTCTGTTCTCCCACCAGACTAGGAGCCCCCTGAGGGCAGGGCTTGGCTTGATTATCTCTGCACACCCAGCATCTCAGAGCACTGGGCTTGGCAGCTGGGAGACCTCAGGGAACCTTTGTTGAATCAATGAAGGGAAGCCACCCAGCACTGTTCCTTGGTCGTCCTCATTGACCTTCAAACCCATCCCCCCTCCACCCCCACAGCCCTTGCCCAGCTCAACTGCCATACTCTCTCACCACCCAACAGCACCAGCCATGTCCCAAGGGCTTCTCCTAACACCCACAACTGATCCTTCTAGTCCCCTATTCAAAGGTCTCCCATATTTCCCTCAGCCTGGAACTCCAGCACCTAAGACTCTGCCTTCTGGCTGCTTCTCTGGGCTTACCTCCCACTTTCACCTTGTCCTTCAACATCCCCAAACTGACCACTGTCCCCTTGCAGCATGCTGTTTCACTCCTCCAGGGCTTTGTCCAAAAGTCTTCCTCACCTGGCAGACTCCTACTCATCCATTTGAAGCCTAGGCTGGTGTGGGCATGAAGTTCCCCAGGAAGCTCCCCTACATGCTGCCCAGTCTGGGCGGTTTGTCACTCCCTTCTCCGTCAAGATACCCAACGTGGTCCTTGTTACAGCACCCATTGCTCTGCCTGGATTGTGGTTCTTGTTGGTTCCTGTAAGGTCTGCTTAAACCTCTTACCTCCAGGGATCCTGATGCTGCAGCACACTGCCTGGTACATCAGCAGAGGCACAAAAATGTCAACGAGTGGATGGTTGAATGAATGAATGACACACGAATCTCCTGCACGCTGAAGACACGGTGCCTGTGCTTCAGTATTTGTGTAATTATCAGCCTTCTCCCACGAGTGTGAATTTCAAGAGCCAGTGTCTGTGTTTGATGCTGAACCCCAGCGTGTCTGCCTCTCTCATCTCTGAGTTCCCGCCTCCCCTTTGTACACCATTCACGTTGCATTCCTGCTGACAACCATTCATTCCACGGCTTCCCACTGGCCTCAGAACAGAATCTGAACTCCCAGCCTAACTTCTAAGTCCCCGGGAAGTCTGGCCCTGTCTGGCCCTGTCAATGTCTCCAGCTTCATCTTGTTCCATCTGCACCTGGCTCATTTACTCCAGTCTCATCTTGTTCCATCTGCACCTGGCTCATTCACTCCAACCTCGTCCTGTTCCATCTGCACCTGGCTCACTCACTCCAGCCTCATCCTGTTCCGTCTGCACCTGGCTCCCTCACTACAGAAAAGCCTTCCCTGGAAGCTCCTCCTGCCCCAGGACCTTTGCATATGCTGTTCTCTGGCTGAAACAGCTCCCCCCACCTTCACCTGGCTGCTGCTTGTCATCCTATTTCGTGTAAGCTAAACTATCCCTTCCTTTTAAACTAGGTTAAAATGCCCCCGTTACAGAGCATTTTGCAGCCTGTTGGATTTTCCCTATGTCCTAACTGTAATTTACTGTTTGTGGACATTGTGTCCACACAATGTCCACTTGATTAAATGCACAAGATGTAAACTCTCTGAGGATAGTGGGCACCCTGTCTGTTTTCCTGCCTTCTGCAGGCTCAGCGCTCAGAACAATGCCTAGCACTTCAGGACACAAATAAATTGCTGGTAATGACTGAATGAGTCCCTTTCTGTGCCCGTTTACGTCCTTTGAGGTGCTGTCCTGGTACACAGCAGGTGCTCAGTAAACCCTTGTGGAATAACAAACGGAAAAGTAAATGAACGTCCACATCCACACCTTGTCCCTCAGCCTCTCCACATCCCTTCTCTTTACCTGTCTCCTTATAGAGAGCATATATATAGTTGGTAGGTGTAACTCTATATTTGTATTACGGGCCCCTCTCCAGGAGTTGGGCTTGGCTGGGCTGGGCTGGGAGTCCCTCCCTCCCCACCGCCCCACCACCACATGCACACAGCAAAACATTAAAAAGAAAACATCTCAAAACTGCAAAAAACACCAAGGCCCTCCCCCACCCAATCCCACAAAAAATAAAATAGAACATGACGCTCCCTCACGCGGCCCACTCCCTCGCCTTCCTTTCCCCCTCCCTTGGGGTCCCTGATTCGAGGGTGGGGGGCACTCCTCCACTCCTGGGGGGGGAGGGGACGCGGGGGGAAGGCCTAGCAGTCCCAGCGCGCTCACGGGAAGGAGGGGGTGCCCCCGACCCCCGGCAGCCTCGTTGCACGCGCGCCCGCGCACGCGCCCCGGCGCCCCCCGCGCGCCCCTACACCGGCGTGGTTTTCCTGTTGAGCGTGTTGGTGTTGGAGGCGGCGGCCTCCTTGGCCAGGGTCCCGGGGGCGGGCGCGGCGGGCGCGGGCGGGGCGGGCGCGGGGGCAGCGGGCGGCCCGGTGACCGTGACCGTGACGCCGCCACCGGCCTCCTTGGGGAAGGCGTTATGCAGAGTGAGGAAGCCGGGCGCCCCCCCGCGGTCCCGCTCGGCACCCGCCCCGCCGCCGCTGCCGCCCGCGCCCCCAGCCGCGCCGCCGAAAGCCCCTCCGCCGCCGGCCCCCGCCAGCCCCGCGGCTACGCTGCCCTTGGATGGGTCGCGGCTGAGCGTGTACATGGAGATGTCCGTGGAGGCGAAGCCCGGGCCCCCGGCGCCGCCGGGAGACGCGTCCCGCGACGGCGACGGCTCGCTGGAACGGGAGCTAGAGCGGGAGCGGCGGCGGTAGCGGAAGCGGTAACTGGGCAGACGGAGGATGGCCGAGGGGCCGCTCCCGCCACTGCCGCCCGCGCCCCCGCCGGCCTTGAGCAGGTCCGAGCGAGACTGGCAGTGCGCCTCGCGGCTGCGCTCGATGTAGATGTTGACGGCCAGCACGCCGATCACCTCTGCCAGGATGAAGGACAGCCCGCCGAAGTAGAAGGACCAGCCGTACGAGTAGTGGTTCTTCTTCTCCTCGTCCCGCTTCGGGCCCGGCTCGCCCGCGTTGGCCGAGATGTACACGATGACGCCGATGATGTTGCTCAGGCCTGGGCAGGGACGGTCAGAGGGGAGCCTCTAGGCCACCCGGGCCCGCCCCTCCCTGAAGTCCCGCCCCCGCGGGCCTAAGCTCCACTCCCCCAGGTATAGGTCCCGCCCCAGTGGTCTGAACCCTGTCCCAGGTGGGCTAAAAGCCCCAGCTGGTCGGTCCTCGTCCCCCAGGTACACATCCCAAAAGGTCCAGACCTCAACCCATCAGGTCTAATCCTGCCCCTACAAAGCCTCCGCCCCACCCTCAGATAACCCAACCGGTCTAAACTCTAACCCAGGATGGTCTAGAGGCCATGCCCTTAATGGTTCAGACTCTATCCCGGACGTCCGAGTCCCGTCTAAACTCCGCCCCGGCTGGCCCAGACCCCGCCCCCAGGTAGCCTTAGCCACACCTTACGTGGTCCGGACACCCCGCTGGGCGGTCCAGGCCCTACTCTGATTGGTCTAATATCACCATTACCGTTATACACCTGGGTTTCCCCTAGGCCCCACCTTCTGCTAGTTTAAACTCTTAATGAAATAATCCCACTCTGACTCTAGGCCCTGACCCTAGTTGATTCAAACTTCTCCTTTTATGATTATCATCCCAGTCTGGTTATCTCTTCTGGGCTGGTCTAAAATTTCCCCTTAGTTGGAGCAGGTCCCATTTCTACTCAAATCCAGCCTCCATGCCCCACACAGCCCGCTCCCCCCGCGATTCTAGATCGGGCTTCTCCCAGGTCGAGCAAGCCCCGCCCCCTTCAGATGTTGACCCGTCCCCCAAAAAACACCCTCATCCCTTAATGAGCCTTCTCTGAGTTACTACTCATTTCCAGTAGAAAGGGCATCTGACCCCTTCATGAGGTGTGTCGCTTGGAGTTGGTCTGGATGGTTTCCGAAGACAGCCCCTGCCTGGATGCGCCAGAGACCACAAGGCCCCGCCCCCTAAAGCAGGCTCCTCCTCATCTGCACCAAATCACTTTTCTCTGCGGCCAGGTCTTTCACCGCCCAGCCTCGCCCCTCTATTTTCAAGACCCTAATTGTGCCTCAACGCTCAAGCTCCACCCCTTCGGTCACCAGAACCAAGGGCTTTGGACCCTAGACCTTCCCCGCATCGCAGATTACGCGCTGCACACCTGTCTGAGCTGTTTGCTCCCCCGTAACTGGCGCAAAGGCGACACCTACCTTGCCCAACGGGTGGCGATGGAGTTTGGGAAGACCCTAGGCAGGCTCCAGGCCCCAGGGGGCGCCCGGGGCAGAGTGGTTTTGCGCGCGCACACACACCGACACACACCCACACACACACTCGTAGTGACGTAGGTGGGCCGCCCTGACAGCTGCCCCCTCCCTCTGCCTCTCACCTGCTGCCACGAACAGGATTCCTGCGCCCAGAATGATGTTCCTCTTGGACTTGTAGACCCGAGAGGCTGCCACGCACACGCCCCCAAGCAGCAGCAGGATGGCGCTGAGGATGGGGAAGATGCTGGAGGCCCGGACGACTCCTACCAGGGAAAAGGGAGGGGAGGGGAAGAGACAGAGAGAGGGTGGGCATCAGGGCGGTCAGAGGCTGCTGCCTGCGCCCCGCCCCCGCCCTCAGCCCGGCACGCTGCGCCTCATGCCTGATTTTGCCTCCACTTATCCCTCCCTAGTTCTTCAGGTTTCCGTCTCTCCCTGTGTTCTGGTTATTTCATTCATTGCCTCATCTTCCTTTTAAACATTTTTCTCTCAGTCAGATTTCCTCTTTCTCTTTGTCATTTTTCTTTCCTCAGTCTATTTTTCTGTCTTCTGGCAAATATATATAATATACATTTCTTCCTTATTATTTCTCTAAATCGCTCTTTTTCTGAACTTCTCTATTTCTCCGTGGACCCCTCCCTTTCTCTTTCCCCTTCTAGCACGATCCTGCCCTTTCCGCGCATTTCTTTTTCTCCAGATCCCTGTCAAACCTCTTAATATTTCTTTCCCTCCTCTCCTTTCTGCCTGGCTTTATCTATCTCTCTAGGTTTCTCCTTTTTTTTCTCCTTCTCCCTTCTCCTCTTTCCTCCCTTCTCTCCCCCCCTTCCCCCTTCTGTTTCTTTTTTTCTCTCTCCCCCTCTCTTCTATGTCACCCCACCCTTTTCTGTCTGGCTTCATTTATAGCTCTGAGTTTCTCTTCTTTCTCTCTCTCTCTCTGTCAAGCCTCTCTCCCCCTCTCTCTGCAGTCCTTTCCACCCCCAAACCCTAGGCTAACAGATTTTGCGATTTCTGAGCACCCCCCCCCGCCGCGGAGGCCACAGCCAATCATAACTCAGGATTTGCCGCGTTCTTGTGGTAGCTACCAATCGCATTACATGCTTCCCCAGCCCGCTCCTGAGATTGGCCGGGCGGCCCCGCAAATTGCATCACAGCCCAAGGGCGCAAAGGCAAATCCCAGCCCAGAGAGTGACTACACGGCCGCCAATCAGCTCCCAGGATCTCCACTCAGCCCGCCCCGAGGTGAGAGGAGCAGGCGGGAGAGAAACCACTAAGCCAATCCGTGAGCAGAGGATCTCAGCGTTCGGACTTGAATTAGCTGGCACGCTCTTCCCTGTGTGTCGATCAAACTGCCCCCCCACCCCGCCACACACACACACACACACACACAGGCCAGGCCCCGCAGTCCCCTAATCTGTCCCCGACCCCAACTTACGACCCCAACTTACGGAGCAGATACTCCGCACTGTCATGGTCGTAGTCGGTGTCCTCCGGGAAATGGTTAATCTTCACGCAGACGCCTCTTTTCAGCCCTGGAGGGAGACGGAGGTGGTGCTCTGAGGGTACTTCGGAGTTCGGGGACCCCCTTTGAAAGAATCCCACCTCTTCCCTCAACCGGCCCCCTGCCCCATGTTGACTGGGAGATAGAAAACCCTGGCTCCTGAGCTTGTCCTGGCATTTGGGACAAACTTTCCACCTCTCTGGCTCTGGTTTCCTCACCAGTTTTTCTTTAAAAGAGAAAAAAAAATCCAGCTTGGTTGGTGTAGCTCAATGGATTGAACGCGGGCTGCGAACCAAGGGGTCACTGGTTCAATTCCCAGTCAGGGCACATGCCTGGGTTGTGCACCGAGTCCCCAATGGGGGACGCATGAGAGGCAACCACACATTGATGTTTCTCTCCCTCTCGTTCTCCTTCCCTTCTCCTCTCTCTAAAAATAGAAATAATAAATAAAACTTAAAATAAATTCCAAAGCTCACTAAAAGGCCACAGGGACGTTTGCCCTGAAACCTGGGCTAGGACACCAGCCTCTCTGCCTTCTGGCTTCGTGTTTCCCTCTACAAGAAGATGCCTTTCTAAGTCTGAACTTGCTAAGACTCTGAAAATGCATGGGAAGCTGAAGGAGGCTGCATAAGGTGAGGAAGACTATATTTCCCATGAGACCCTATGAAATCTTGAGTCCAACTGCGGGGAGAGCAGCCCCAGCTGTTCATGAGAGTTCTAGCATCTTCGATCCTGTAAATCAGGAGAGGGATACCCAGCGACTTCCCTGGAATCCGCTGGAAGGGGATGGAGTGATTGGAGCAAACAGAGGCATGTGAGAGGTCTGCCTCCAGGGGTCTTCCAGCCTCTCCCCCTTCATCCACCCCAGAATCCTATCCTCAGGTCCCAGCCCTCACACCCTTTGAGAACCTATTATCTCATTTCAGAGGACAGTTCCCGTTCTAACACATCACTTGAGACTGCTCTATAATTAAGCATAAATATCAATATGTTTCATTTCCTCGATTCTCCAGGCTCCTTCTAACTCCAGGTTGTGAAACAGTCCACTCACATTCTTCACTGAAGAAAATGTACCCTGCAAGCGGCCAGCTCACAGGATGCCTCCTGAGGGAGCATGTCCTGGGCTTGCACTCACTTCTCCCACTAAAGTTGGGTCCAATTCCCCCTCTGGGCTGCAGCTGCTCCCTGTGCTATACCCGCTTTCTGGTATGCATCCGGTGGACTTATGAATTTCTTGTTAGCAAGCTGAGAGTTTCTGCAAGGCAGTGTGTGTGTGTGTGTGTGTGTGTGTGTGTGTGTGTGTTAGGGGAGGCAAAGGCACATAGGGTCTGGGTCCTCTGTGTCCCTAGCATTGCCTGGCACAAAGGAGGCCTCAAGAAATGGGAGTCCAGCCCTGGTTAGCTCAATTGGTTAGAGTGTCCTCCCAATACCCCAAGATTATAGGTTCCATCCTCCATCAGAGCACATACAGGGAAAAAAAACAACAAATGCACAGATAAGTAGAACAACAAAATAATGTTTTTCCTCTCTCCTCTCCCCCATGACTCTCTAAAATCAATAAATAAAATTTTTTTAAAGAAATGGGTGTTGAAAGAATGAATGAGAGAGTGAGTAAATATAAGGATAGCAGAAGGCAGGATTTGAGGTAGATGACAACAGGGAAAAGAATGGGGGAAAGACAAGGAGTCCGAAGAACTATTAGACAGTGAGTAATTCCATTAAGAGCTAACATTGGTAAGTGCTTCCTAGGTGAATGAACTCATCTGGAGCTCCCCAGAGTCCCGTGAAATACATGATGTTATTGGTCTCATGCAGAGACCAAACATTGCGAATCTGAGTCCCACTGCTTGATAATGAAGCAGCACTTCATCATGTCTTTATTCTGTGACCTGTTGGCATTACTTAGGTCAATTTGCTCCAGTTTCTTCACCTAAAAAGGGTGCAGTAAGACCTTCCTCATGGGGATGTGGTGAGGATTGAATTCGGGTAGAGATTTAGCACTGTGCCTGGGTCACAACTAAGTGCTCAGTCATGATCAGTAGACATACCCATTGTCCAGATGAGGAAAACAGAGGTGCAGAAAGGGTTCATCAGTTCAAAGCTGATGGGTGGTGCAAGCAGACTCACACACCACAGTTTTCCTTACTAGAATGTAAGCATATGGACGGTTCACCACTGTATCCCCAGCACCTGGAACAACGCCTAACACATGTAAGTGCTTGATAAATATTTTCATTCTTTAAAAAAAAAAAGGGAGGGAGAAAGAAGCAGAGAGAAACATCAATGTGTGGTTGCCTCTCATGCACTCCCCACCAGGGACCTGGCCTGCAACCCAGGCATGTGCCCTGACTGGGAATTGAACCAGCGACCCTTTGGTTTGCAGGCTGGCACTCAATCCACTAAGCTACCCCAGCCAGGGCTTGATAAATATTTTTATGAAAGAATGATTGGGCCCTGGCTGGTGTGGCTGAGTGGATTGAGTGCCGGCCTGTGAACCAAAGGGTTGCAGGTTCAATTCCCAATCAGGGCACATGTCTGGGTTGCAGGCCAGGTCCCCAGTAGGGGACGTGTGAAAGGCAAACACACTCTGATGTTTCTCTCCCTCTCTTTCTCCATTCCTTCCCCTCTCCCTAAAAATAAATAAATAAAATCTTTTAAAAAAAAAGAAAAGAAAGAAAGAAAGGAAGAATGACTGAATGGGCCAACAAACACATGAAAATGTACTCAGCATCATGAATCACTAGGGAAATGCAGATCAAAACCACAGTGAGATACCACCTCATACCCACTGGGATGGCTACTATAAAAAATGTTTTGAAAACAAAATAATGTAGTTGTCAAGGATGTGGAGAAATTGAGACCCTTGTGCACTGTTGGTGGGAATGTAAAATGGTGGAGTTGCTATGGAAAATAGTATGCAGGTTCCTATAAAAAAATTAAAAACAATGACTAGATGATCCAGCAACTTCCCTTTAGGGTATATGCTCAAAATAATTTAAAGCAGGGTCTCTGAGAAATATTTGTATACCCATTTTCATACCAGAATTATTCACAATAGCCAAAAGCAATTCAAGTGTCCATCAATGTATGAATGGATAAAATGTGGTATACATATTCAAAAGAATATTATTCAGCTGTAAAAAGGAAGGGAATTCTGATATATGCAACAACACGGATGAACCTTGAGGATATTATGCTAAGTAAAATATGTCAAACACAGAAAGACAAATACTGCATGGTTCCACTTCTATCTGGTGCATACAGGAGACAAATTTCAAAATACAGGAGCTAGGAGAGAGGAAATGAGAAGTTGTTTAATGGAGGCAGAGTTGAAATTTTGCAAGATGAGAAGAGCTCTGGAGATGGATGATGGTGATGGTTGTACAACGTGAAGGTACTTAAGACCACTAAACTGTAGCCTTAAAAATGGTTAAAATGGCCCTGGCTGTAGTAACTCAGTGGATTGAGCACAAGCCTGTGAACCAAGGGGTCACCGGTTTAATTCCCACTGGGGCACGTGCCTAGATTGCAGGCCAGGACCCCCCACTGGAGGGCACTTGAGGGGCAACCACACGTTGATGTTTCTCTCCCTCTCTTTCTCCTTCCCTTCCCCGCTCTCTAAAAATAAATAAATAAAATCTTTTTTAATGATTAAAATGATCAATTTTATGTTCCATATATTTTACAATTAAAAAATGATTGAATGAATAAATGAACATACACTCACAGAGCAAACTCTTACCCATCAGCACATGCACGATGATGTGGCAGTTAAGACTGAGGACCCCTGAAGTACTCTCCTTTCCCGAATGGGATCACAGTCCTGCTCTCCCAACATTAATGACAATTAAATGAGGTTGAGCACGGGGAGCACAGGGCACACAGACTCTTTCAGCAGAACGGTGGTGACAGCAGTAATAACAAGCAGCCACTGACAGGGAGTAACACACCCAATACTTAGGACGAATCTAGAGGTACGAGGCAATAACAGTCTCCTCATTCTGCAGATGAGGAAACTGAGGCATGGAGTTGAAGAGGCTTCTGGGTCCCACATGGAGGATTAGTCATGGGAGGAGGTGCAGGAGCAGCTAGGCTTCAGAGGCCAACAGATTGAGGGCTGCGGAGCATGGTGGCTACAAGCCTCAGTTTCCTCATTTCAAAAAGGAGGACGATGACAGGACTTTATAGGGCTTGATAAGAATTCAGTGAGCCCTGGCTAGTGTGGTTCAGTGGATTGAGCACCAGCCTATGAACCAAAGGGCCACTGGTTTGATTCACAGTCAGGGCACATGGCTGAATTACAGGCCAGGTCCCCAGTAGGGGGCGCACAAGAGGCACACATTGATGTTTCCCTATCTTTCTCCCTCCTCCTCTCCCTAAAAATAAATAAATAAATAACTTTTAAAAAGAATTCCATGAAACACAGGACAAGCACAGGACAATTACAGGACACATGGGGATTACAAGGCTACATGTATGTCCTGTGACCCTATTGGGCTGGGAGCTTTCCATGTGCAGTGATGGCGATGGGTCCCAGAGTCTCCCCCAGAACCTGCCTAGGTTGCTGTGAAGGGGGCACAGGTGAGGTGAGGACATGTGCAGAAGTGGGTTCCAGCCCGCTCTGCCCATTGCGTGTATGAGAGCCATAAGGCTGACTCACTTCCCCTTTCTGGCCATCAGCTTCCTGCCCTGACAAACACAAGCCATAATAATACCTTTCCCTGGCACAGTTGAGAGGACTCAATGAGATAATAAGGCAGGCAAAGTGCTGAGCAAAGAGGCTTTGGACAGTGGCTGGAATAAATGGTCTCTGGGTACAGGTCACTGTGTCCTAACAGAGGACCTGGGATTGCAGCTGAGATTCCCGGAGAGGGGCTACAGCCATACACCAGCCACCAGTGCCAATAGGTCTAGGGTCCTTGAAACACGGCAACTGAAATGAGCTGTGAGGGTAAAATACTCACTGATTACAGACTTAATATGAAAAAAAGCATAATAGTTCATTAATTGTACATATTGATTACATGGTAAAATATTTGGGCTCTGCTTGGTTAAATAAATTGTTAGCCTTCACATGAATGTACAATGTTGTATAAATTATATTCATTGAACCTTTCCCTGTTTACTTGTTTTCATGTAGCTCCTAGAAAAATTTAAGTCACATACGCAGCTTGTGTGATGTCTCTGTGGGCAGTGCTGGGAGAGAGGCTGGGACTTCTAGATTACCAAGGAGCAGGGATTCAGGGTCACCTGAATTCCGAATAATAATAAGAACAACCAAATATAAACTATATAATCCAGCCCTCACTCTGTGCCTGTCAGCCTTTTTTTTATTTATTTATTTTTAGAAAGAAGGGAAAGAAAGAAGAAAGCAAGGGAGAAAAACAATGATCTGCTAGAGAAACATGAATCTAGCTGCCTCTCACACATGGACCTGGCCCGAAATCCAGGCATGTGCCCAGAACGGGAATTGAACAGGGTGAACTTTCCATTTGCAGGGCGATGCCCCACCCATTGAACTCTGTGGGTCAGGGTTGAGCCTGCTAGCCTTTTAAATGTCTCACACATGCTAACTCAGTTGACTTTTCCCATAACACTGTGGTTGGGGGCTCTTCTAATCCCCATTTCACCGATGATGGAATAGACACAGAGAGGTTAACTATATGGCCCAAGGTGACCCTGCTGTACATGGCACCCAGGAGGTAAACCAATCACTACAGTCCACTGCATCACTCAGAGCTGGGGGTGGACCCCAAGAATTCCAGGGGATACAGTACTTTCAGGAGGAGATGCCTCAGAGGGCCCAGTTTCTTTTTCTTTGATTTTTAAATCCTCACCCAAGGATATGTTTATTGATTTTAGAAAGAGAGAAACATCGATGTGAGAGAGAAACATCGACCTCCCGTATGTGCCCCCACCAGGGATCGAACCCACAGCCTATGTGCTCTGACAGGGGATCAAACCTACAACTTTTTGTGCATGGGAGCACACTCCAACCAACTGAACCACCCAGCCAGGGCAAGGGGACCAGTTTCTATACTCCCGGATCCATGAGGGGCTGGTGGCTGATGGACACATGGCTTTGTTCTCCTTAGGAAAAAAAATGGACCCAGATTCAAATCCAACCTCTACTGCATATTAGCTGTGTGACCTTGGGCAAATTGCTTCACCTCTCTGAGCCTCAGCTTCCATTTCCAGCAGATGGAGATCTAAGAATACATATCGCACAGGGTTCTTGTGACGAAGGAATGACAATGACGGTAACAATCAAGCCAGCCTGTAAGTATCCCTTTTATAAAACGCCTCCTTCTTTTCACTCTCAGGACACACACTCACTTCATTTTGCCCAAACCTCTGTGGCCACTCCTTTCTCAGCTCCCTTGCAGGTTTCTTCTCATCTCTCTGACTGCCTTGTAATCACTAACTCAGGCGGCAGGCCCTCAACTCTTTTTTGGTTTCTCTCTCTTCTCATTCCCTATGTGACCTCATCTGTTCATATGCCATGACCCCCAATTTGTGTCTCCAGCCCAGACTGTCTCCTGAACTCTGGCCTCACATCATATTGCTGACAGCCTGGATAAGGGGTCTGCTAACTGTGGCCCACAGTCCAAACCCAGCAAAGAGTGGGTTTTATATCTGTTAAAGGAAATTTATTTATTTTTAGAGAATGGGGAAGGAAGGGAGAAAGAGAGGGAGATAAACATCAATGTGTGGTTTCCTCTAGCATGTCCCCAGCTGGGAGCCTGGCCCCACAACACAGGTATGTGCCGTGACTGGGAATCAAACCCACGACCCTTTGGTTTGCAGGCCGGCACTCAATCCACTGAGCCACAGCAGCCAGTGCTGGGTTTTATACTTTTTGAAAGGACTGAAAAAATATCAAAAAAGACTGTTCCATGGCACGTGAAAATGGTAGGAAATTCAGATGTCTGTGACTATAAGTGAGGAGTGCCACCACAGCCATTAACTCTTATGTTTTCTCTGGTTGTTCTCAGGGGTGGTTGTGAGACAAACTGTGCTCCACAAAGCCTAAAATGTTGAGTATGTGACACATTGCAGGGTTTTTACCAAGCTGACATTTGTCCTAGATGATCTCTGTAATAGGCAGGTTAAATTTAATGTGTCCAGGCCTAACCAGGTAACTCAGTTGGGTAGAGCATTGTCACGATATGCCAAGGTTTTGAGATGGATCCCCAGTCAGGGAACAGACAGGAAGCAACCAGTGAATAGATAAATGATTGGAACAACAAATCAATGTTTCTCTCTCTCTCTCTCTCTCTCTCTCTAAAATTAATACATAAATAATTTAAGTTTAACATCCAAATTTAGGCTCATGATAGCCCTCCTTGCAATAAATTAGATGACAGAAACAAAAATAAAATAAAATACCTGCTGTTACACATTATGAACACTTCCTTCTTCCCCCACCCTATTCTCAGGTACTCAGGATACAACCTTAGAGCAGTGATTCTCAACTAGAGGTAACTGTATTCCTAGTCTAGAGAGAGTTGACAATTTTGGTTGTCACAACTGGAAAGTGCTCCTGGCTTTTGGAAGGTAGAGGCCAGGATGCTGTTAAACATGGTACCATGCACAGGACAGCCCCCCACAGCACAGAGTTATTTCTCCCAAAATGTCAACAGCCCTGTGGTAGAGAAATGCTGCCCTAGGAACACACTGACTCTTCTCTCTCATATCCCACAACTGCCCCACCAGGAACTCCTGCCATTATAGCTTCAGACTTGGGTCTGAATTCAAACCACTGCCCAAACTCTAATGTTCTACCCCAGACACACCACCTCCTGCTTTCTCTCCCTAGTTTCTCAACACAGCAACAAGAGCCATCCTGTTCAAATTGAAGTCAGCTCTCGTTACTCCTCTGCTCAAGAAACTCTGAAAGAGCCCTGGCTGGTGTGTCTCAGTGGATTGAGTGCCAGCCTGAGAACCAAAGGGTCACAGGTTCGATTCCCAGTCAGGGCACATGCCCAGGCTGCAGGCCAGGTCCCCGGTTGGTGGTGTGTGAGAGGCAACCACACATTGATATTTCTCTCCCTCTCTCTCTCCCTCTCTTTCTCCCTCCCTTCCCCTCTCTCTAAAAAATAAATAAATAAAATCTAAAAAAGAGAGAGAAAACCTCTGATATGGCTCTGACTGGTGTGGATCAGTGGGTTGGACATCCTCCTGCAAACCCAAATATCACCGGTTCTATTCCCAGTCAGTATACATGCCTAGGTTGTGAGACAGGTCCCCAGTTGGGCCCTGTTATCTCCCTGACTTCCGTCTCACCACATCCCCCTCACTCCCTCTGCCCCAGCCTCTCCACCTCCCCCTGGTCCTACTCCAGTGCCTTTGCTTTGGCTCTTTCTGCAGCCTGAAGCCTGTCTCTCACTTCCTTTGAACCTCTACCGCATGTCACCTGCAAAGTCTCCAAGACAATTTTATACACATGCCCCTCACACATCCATCTCCTCGGCACTGAGCTCTGTCTAACACCCTAAGTGTTTTATTGGTTGATCTCTTTTATTCTCTGTCTCTCCTTCTGGAATATAAGGCATATAAAAACAGGAATGTTTTTTGTTTGTTTTTCCCACTGTTGTAGCCCCAGAATCAAGAATAGTTCCTGGCACACAGTAAAAAGTCAATAAATATTGGTTGTTGATGAATGAATGAACGAACAAACGACATTCTTACTCTATGCCCTACGCTGTCCTAGGGGTTTCAGGATGCAAGCCAGACCACTTGCTCTATGCCTGCTCCTCAGTCAGACCAGTGAGTGAACCTGAAGTCAAATGCCCACAGGAGGAAGAAAGTTTCCTAATGAGAGAAGTGGACAGGATAGGAGGCAATAGGGAGCGGAGGGGATTGTGAAGGTATGGACATACCCCTCCCCTGATGTGTTATCTGAAAAAGCAGCTGCTACTCGGATCCAGCCAACCATGGCCATGGCAGACCCCCATGTTGTCAGTTTTGTGCTAGTTCCAAAGAAACCGGAAATCAGATTTTTCAATGTGAAGTCTTCCTATTTTTAAAAGTTGGCGACTAATTCAGATTTTGGTTTTGGTCTTCAAACACTCCACATGCCAAACCAAGCCTATCTGCAAATCCCATCCCTCAGACCTGAGTTTTCTTGGCTCTGCCCCATCCACAGCTGGGTGACCTTGGGCAAGTGACTTAACCTCTCTGAGCCTTAGTTTCCCCATTCCAGACAGGAGCAGTGAAGCCCAGTTCACAGGATTAAACAAGATGATAACATTCCCTGCTCATCCTGAGTGCTTGGCCACACAGGGGAGAAAAGGATGGGGGAAAAAAGAAGGGGAGGAACCTCAGCATTTCTGGCTCCTAAGGGGGAGCCTTGGGATAGGCTGGTCCCACTGCTTCATGTCACAGCTGGGGCTGCGAGGCCCAGAGGTTGAGCCTGAGGTGCTAAGATACCAGTCACACAGGGGGACTGGCGAGGAGCAGGGTAGAGAGAGAGAGACCACTGAGGGGGAAAAAAAACAGAGATAAGAGGTTGGAAGAGGAATGAGGTGCGGGGGGAGGAAGAGGAGACTGCGGGCTTGGGCGCAGGGAGGATGACACAGAGCCATCAGGAGGACGAGGGCGGACCAGGACCAGGGTGGGAGGTTGGAAGACACCGGGGGTGGGAGAGGAGGCAAGAGGAGAAAGGGTGAGAGGCCAGAGCAGACAGCCACACCTAAGACCAGCTGGGCAGGGAGTCTAAGGGCAGAAACCACCAAAACGCAGCAAAGGGATGGAGGAGAGAGGAGAGGGTGTGAATGGGGGCAAAAGAGGGGGATACTCAGAGCCCTGGGACAGGATGTGGGAGAGAGAACAAGACGGGTGCACGGTGGGGGGGGGGGGTGTGGAGCAGAGTGAAAGGCTGGAGAGGGTGGCAGGGCGTGCACCTGCGGGGACCAGCGGGAGAAGCAGCACCACCAGTGCAGACCACCCCTGGGAGATTCAGGAGAGGAGGGGAGGGGCTGCGTGGAGGGGCGCAGTGGCCCCACCTACCTTCCAGGCAGCAGATCCGCCAGAGGCCAGAGTGGGTGAGGCCCCCTGGGTCCTTCTTTTCGGAGGAGCCTCCCCCGCGGTGGGGGGGCCCCTCGTCGCCGGCTGTGAGGTTGGTGGTGTTGCAGATGAAGGCGCGCGTGTACAGCCAGTAGTCGGTGCTGATGGCAATGGTCATGAGGCCGAAGGCGGCGAAGGCGCCCACCGTGGTCAGCAGCACTTGCACCCCCTTCTCGCACCAGAGGCCCCTCTCTTCGTTCCAGCGCTTCAGCGACTCCAGTTTGACCACGGGCAGCCGGGGGGCCGTGGGCCACCACCGGGGCAGCGGGGGCGGGGCCGTGCCGGCGGCTGGGGGGGGTCACAGCGCAGGCAGAAGTGGGGGGCCTGGGCCCCTGGAGGCTGGGGAAGGGCGGCGAGGACGAGGCTTAGCCGGGAGGGGTCAGAGGGCGGCCATGATCACCAGCTGGTGGAAGGCAGGGAGCGAGATACAGGGTTAGGAGGCATCAGTACCTACCTCCCCAGCCACCCTGGCCCGCGACCCCAAAAAGAACCCCACTATATCCTCACCCGAACAAACTCCTTCCACTGTGTTTCCCACTGCCGCCCCTTAGGCGACAAAATCCGCCTCTTCTGAGGAAAGTCTTACCACCAATCTCTCCCCAAGGAGTATCCCCCCTCCCTGACACTCCAGGACCCTCCTCTACCCCCCAAGCTCCTCCCCTCTGGTCACTGTTCTCATCAGATAAAAAGGCACCCTTCGCTCCAGCCCTAGCGCTTCCCCAGCCCAAGGAGCCCCCCCTTCTTTTCCTCATCCTCCAAGACCCCCCATCACCCTTCTTCTCAGACACAGCTCCTCCCTCTCTTCCCTCCTAGTCCTACTTCTTCACCTACTGTGTCCCCTACTCAAGAAATATAAATTTTTTCATGTCTTCTCAGCTTAAAAAAAAAAAGTCTTCCCGAGGAACCCTCACTTTTTTCACAACTCAGAAGAATCCTCATGGTTACCACTAACACCCCCCTCCCAAACATAGGGTCCTCTGCCTGGGAACCCCCTTCTCCACACAGATCCCTCTCTCTCTGGATCAAGGTTCCAACCCACCTTGGGAAGGTCACCAGAGGACCTTTGGAGAACAGATACCTGAGTCCCAACTGGGGAAATTTTGATTTTATTGGTCTGCTCTGGTGTAGCCCAGAGCCCCTTGGTTTTTCACCGCTACCTAGGGGATTTTAGTGGGCAACCAACACCACATTAGCCCCATTGGTTTAGAAGAATACCCTCCCCCATCTCCATCACATCCCTTCTAACAGCTGCTACTGAGGCCCCTCAGACTACCCCAACCCCTTAGTATGTCTCCGACTCAAGAAACCACCCCCTCTTCGCTTTGCTTAAAGAAGTCTCTGGAATCTGGCCCCCTCCATTGCTACAACTTAGACAAACTCATCACCACCATCACTTTCTTCGTCTCTATTAAAAAAAAATTTCCCCCATGAGCTCATGGCATTTTCTATTCCCAAGAATCCCTTCCTTCAGACCCCCAGTTCCTCTCCATTCAGGACCTCGCAAGGTCTGACCTGGACATCCACTGCTGTCCAAGGAGATCCGCCTCCCCCCAAACCCACTGCCGCCACCCAGCACCCTCCCACCCCATTCCACGGTCCTCCCACCATCTCCTACTGATTCCACCTCCCCAGGGTCACCCTTGTTATCTCCTCGCACAAGAGGAACCCCCCATTCTGGATCTCCCCAACTCACCTGGACCTCCCACTGTCTCTTCCAGCTACAAGAACTTTCCCCACCCACTGTCCAACTTCTCTTACATCACGAAGAATCTCCCTCACTCAGCCCTCTCTTCCACCCACTCTGACTTGCAGCATCTCACCTACTCAGGAAAACCCCCTACATGGCCCTCAGACTTCCCTTCTTGGGAACACCCCAAGACTCCCCCTACTAGTTCACCTGTGCAGGAACATACACCGTGCATGCATTATCTTCCAAATTTAAAAAGAGCTCCTCCACAGACAAGGCCCCTGACACAAATTTGATGTCCATGGACTACTGCTCTCTTTCAGGTAGGAATAATCTCCCCCTCCACACCCCTCCAGTGTCCATTCAGTTCCCTCTTCCAGAGCAGTCCCACCACCACGCCCTCAGCTCTGCCTTCTCCACCTCACCCAGGTGTGTCCCTTACCTGCTTCCACCACTCACTCTTTCCTAGACTTCCTCCCCAAACCCTTGTTAGACTGAAGAGCCTAGCGGCCACGGAGGAGAGGAAAAGCCAGGCTGGGTCCCAGTACCAGGGTGACCTTGGCCTCTTTTGCCCCCATCAACAGGGGAGCCCCCACTGGGTCTGCTTCCAGGGGCTGCTGAAAAGGTTGTCTAGGGGGGGTGTCTCCATGGCAACTGGGCCCAGTGCCCCACACATGTGTTCCCTCCCCCACTTCAGCTCCTGTCTGCCCACACGCAGCCCCTACCTGGTCCCATTCACCAGGCACTGGGCACTGACACCCCCAGCCTCCCTTTCCTGGGTGCTGGCCCCTTCCTCTCTCCACTCTCCAGACAGATGCTGCCGAGTTTCCTCTCCTCTGGTCTCTGGGCCTCTTCTCCCCCATCTGTGCCCCTCACTAGCAGCAGCACCGCCACGTCCACTGTCCTAGCACATTTCTGCTTCCACCTGGGTGAGCCTGTGACCCCAGGAGGTACCCCTTCCCGTGCTGGGCCCCCTACAACCTGAGGTTAGTAAGGGATGGAAACCGGGGGCAAATGAGGGAAATTCTCCATCTGAAAAAAGACTTGAAGATCTTTCATTTTATCAATGTGGGGGTCACAATCTGTTTGGCTTTAGGGACTGTTCCTTTAGTCCATCTGTCAGCGGCAGCAAAGGAAGAGGGAGAAGGGAACCCCCAATTCTAAAGCCTCTGGATATGACAGGGGTTACCATCCCCTCTCCCTCTGGAGGGGACCAGCTCCTTCCTCCAGAATTAGGGGGGTCACAGAAGCTTCATTCTACATCCACCCACCTCCGATTAATAAAAAGATCTGTCTCACCTCTGTTAACGATAGGTCAACTCTCCGATGCACTGGGGAGGGGACGATGTGCCCCCCTGTCGGCACCCCCCCAGAAACACCTTTGTGGTTCCCAGTTCTCGCTGCTCCCCCTCCCCCAGCAGCGAGGGACCCAGGCGTCCGACCTGGTAGGGGGGTGGAGATGAGGAGGCGTATGGGAGAGGGGGCTGTTGAGGTGGTGGGGGAGGCTGAGGGGCAGCTCTGAGCTCGGGCCCCAAGAAAGTGGGGGGGGTTGAGATGGGGGAAAAAAAGGTGAGGAGACAATTTGGTTCTCGTGTCGCTGGGTAAAGTGCGGAGCTGGAGGACGAGAGAGGGAGGGAGGAGGGAGGGAGGGGGAGGGGGAGCCGCTGAGGATGGGGGAGCCACGGAGAAGAGATGGGGGAGGAAAATAATTGGGGGGGCAGGGTCTGGGTGGCAGAAGGAAGCTGGGGAAGAAAAGAGAGACCCGGAGAGGGAGGGAGAGAGGCAAGGAGAAGCGGAAAGGGACCCGGAGACTGGGAAACAGAAATGGGGGAGGGAGAAATTTGGGGGAGGCAGCGGCTGGTAGCAGGAGGAAGTTGGAGAGAGACACACACACAGAGAAATATCCAGAGAGAGAAGGGAAGAGAGACAGAGACCCAAAGAGAGAGACCAAGAGACTGGGGGAAGGTGGGGGATGGGGGAGGGTTGGGGTGAGGGAGAGGATGGGGGGAAGGGTCTGGGTAGCCGAAGGAAAGAAGAGACTGAGAGAGAGTCATCCAGAGAGGGGGAGGAGAGACAGATGGGGAGAGACAGAGAGAGACAGAGGGGAGAGAAAAAAATACAAGGGGAAGAGAAATTGGGGATGGGGCAAAGGAGAGAGGGATGCTTTAGAAAGAGAAAAGGAGACAGAGAGAGATAATGAATTAGAGAAATTTAAGAGAGAGGGCTCTGAGTGGCAGAAGGAGCCTGGAGACAGAGAAGCAGGTGCAGAAGAAAAGATATCCAAAGAGAGAGACAGATGGAGAGAGACTGTGAGTGGGGAAGAGAGAGACCCAAGGACCGAGAGACAGAGATAGAGACCCAGGAGGCATCAAAAGGAAGGTGGAGAAACACGGGAGAGGGGCCGGGCTCAGAGCAGTGAAAGAGGTCAGAGAGAAAGGACACCCCTGCCCCCTCCCCCACCCTCCTCCCCAGCCCCTGATCCCTACCCCCATCCCCAATTCAAAGCCACTACCCCCACCCCCACTAGCCTCCATCTCTCCACAGCATCGCTTGCCGCCGCCACCGCCTCTTCCTGTCGTCATAGCAACAGGATCCAGGCGCCCAGCCAAGGCTGGCAACAGCGGCCGGAAATGAGGGGAGGGCCTTTTAGAAAGGACCCCAGGAGCTCGCCCCTTTCCCAAAATCCAAGGAAAAGCTCAACTTCCCCGTGCCTTCCCACCCTCCCCCAAACGGCAAGGACAAAGTTCTCCAGAAAATACAATTATATTAAATTTACAAGGATGGCAAGCCCTTGGAGTTGCACCAACAAATTTTTTTTTCTTACCCCACTACCCAACTTTAAACTCTAAGAGTTTGATTTTCCCAAGATGGGGATGGGAGTGAGGAGCAAAGTAGGATGCAAGAAAGAAGCTTGAGTGGAAATACATTTGAAAGAAATCCATCCTGGATTGTGTGGGGAGGGAGGGAGACAACTCAAGGAAAGAAAAAAAAAATTAGATGAGCCCAGAAAGTTTGGTCTTGGGTTCGGATCTCAGAGATGCCCCTGTGTGTGACCTCGGGCAAAACATTTCCTCTCTTCCAGGTATCCTGGGGGCCGGACTACCTCCAATGAAATGAGATATGGATGATAAATGTATCTCTGCCTGCTGCTCCAGGTACACAGTTATTTCAGAGGTGTGTCCTCGTACTAATGCTATCAAACATGAAAAGCGAGCCTTGGGGTTAGGCCGTTTTGCATGCTTTGTTGTCTCATGAAATTCTTACGAAAATCCTTGCCAGTAGACACTCATGTTCCCATATTACAGATGAGCAGACTGAGGCTCGGAGATGAGTAGTGATTTGCCCACGTTCAGCTGGACCTGGGGATGAAGCAGCCTCTCTGTGGGGGGTGCCAGGGGTAGTCAACCTTAGGTGAACTTCAGAACCACTTAACCAGCCTTTCCTGGGCCAGCTCCTCCGTTTGGGGGGGGAGCTGGAGGAAGGCAGAGATAACCTGCCTCCTCCCCGCACATCCAATCACCTTCCCCAGACGGGCTCTGATTTCCACTGGAATTTCTGTAGGTCAGTTGACTTACTCAGGAGAGGAGTTTAGAGAGAAGCATTCGGACACCCCTGGTTTAGCAGCGAAGAAACACCAGCCTCAAGGGAAGGGGCCTGGAATTCACTCGACTGAGAAACATTCGTTCCGCCTCTGCTCTTCCGCCAGGAGAGAAATACAGCTGCGGACAATAATGGGAACTGATATAAATTAAGTGCTGATATCACAGATTCTGAGCGATTTGCATGGGCACGGTGGAAATCAGAGTCAAGGCTGACTGCCTCTCCGTTCTTCGTTCTTCGGTGGGTGGGGGTGAGGGTTGTTTATGTCCTCAATGAGAGAACTAAAAATAAACAACGGAAACAGATACATTCAAAAAGTGGAAACAACTATCAGATAATAAAAGGAGCCAGGAGTTCTAAACCTTGGAACTGTTTTTTAAAGATTTTATTATTTTTATTATTATTTTTCAATCCTCATCATTGGAGAGAGAGAGAGATCAATTGATTGCTTCTGGACTGATCCAGACCAGCCAGCAACCTAAGTATGTGCCCTGACCAGGAACTAAACCCAGGAATGGAACCCACAATTTTTAGGTTTACAGATGACACTCCAACCACCCGAGCCATACTGGCCAGGAAGGAACTTTTTTTTCTCCAAATTTTTATTTATCAATGTTACAGAAAGAGAGAGAGAAGGGATGGGAGGGGAGAGAGAGAGAGACATCGATTTGTTGTTCCACTTACTCATACATTCATTCACCAGTTGAGTCTTGTATGTGCCCTGACAACCTCGGGGTATTGGGACAACGTTCTAACCAACTGAGCTACCCAGCCAGGGCTAAGCCTTGGAACTATTGGCATTCGGGTCAGACAATTACCTATGGTGAGTGGGGGTGGGGGGGTTCCTGTGCATAGTAGGAACCAGAGTGGCATCTCTGGTCTCTCCCCTCCAGATGCCAAAAACAAGAGCTGTAATAAAGAGAACTCCATCTGTTCCACCCCAATTCTGTTCCTTACTGGAAAAAGCCTTTTAATATTTGTAGTTGTTTCCTCTCTTACTTGCCTCTACATCCCTAAATAATTATCTTCTGGGTTTGTCAGCACTACAGATATTTGTTCCTCTGGTAGATAAGGGTTTAACTCATCTGGACTTCACTTTTCCCTCTTTTCCTCCCCATATAAGTATTTTTAGTTCTGCTATTGGTTCATTTGGTGACATTAAGCAACAGACTTACATCGTGATTTCTTGTTTCCAAGTGCCTATCTCTTCTTTTTTTGTAACAGCTTTATCCAGAGAGAATCCACATACCACACAATTCACCCACTTAAAGTGTACAATTCAATGGCTTTTAACTATAATCATAGGATAGTGCAACCATCAACTTTAAATCCATTTTAGAACATTTTCAGGAGCCCAAGGAGAGACCACACACCCCTGAGCCAGCCAATCTTCCCAAACACACCCCAGCCCTAGGCAACAACTAATCCACTTTCTATCTGTATAGATTTGCCTATTCTGGACGCTTGGTATAAACAGAATGCTTGTTAGTGACTGACTTCTCTCAGTATAATGCTTTCCAAATCCACCCCTATAGTAGTAGGTGTCAGAACTTTATTTCCTTGTATTAGTAATATTCCATTTGCCCCGGCTGGTGTAGCTCAGTGGGCTGAGCACCAGCCTGCAAACCAAAGGGTCACTAGCTCAATTCCCAGTCAGGGCATATGCCTGGGTTGCAGGCCAGGTCCCCACTTGGGGGGCATGAGAAAGGCAACCACACATTGATGTCTCTCTCCCTCTCTTTCTCTTTCCCTTCCCCTCTCCCTAAAAATAAATACATAAATAAATAAACTTAAAAAAAATAATATTCCAGCCCTGGCTGGCGTAGCTCAGTGGATTGAGCGCGGGCTGCGAACCAAAGTGTTGCAGGTTCGATTCCCAGTCAGGGTACATGCCTGGGTTGCAGGCCATGACCCCCAGCAACCGCACATTGATGTTTCTCTCTCTCTCTCTCTTTCTCCCTCCCTTCCTTCTCTAAAAATAAATAAATAAATCTTTAAAAAATAATATTCCATTTGATGAATAGGCCATGTTTTATTTTTCTGTTGGATACTTGGGTTATTTCCACATTTTGGCTGTTGTGAGTGATGTTGCCATGAACGTTCATGTACAAGTTTTTGCATGGACATATGTTTTCCCGTCTGTTGGGCACATACTTAGGAGAGGACTTGCTGTATCACAGGCTGAGAACTGAGGTAGCGTCTCTGGACTTCATTTCGAAGATAGAAATATGACATCCCCCCTGATGGCCCCATCGGCCCAGGGGAGGACTCTTCAGAAGCAGAGTCACAAACAAAGCAGGTTATGGGCCCTTTCAGAACTCATTCCCAAATTTGCTTGTGAATTCATCTCACATGAGTCAAAGTCTCCAGTGGGCTTAACCCAGAGAACTAAAGACTGCATAGACTCAGAGATGAGTCTGCGAAGCCCCTACCCTTGAGAAGCCCTTCACTCTCACTTCCCCTGGCCCCATGTGGTAGGCAGAACTCTAAAAAGGCCCCTGAGGTTCCCATTCCTTGGCATACATACTCTGCAGGATCTGTGAATAGGACTGGTGTCACCCCATGATTAGATTACATGATATGGCTGAGTGAAGGGATTTTGTACATGTAATTAAAGTCTTAAAATTTACTCAAAGGTAATCAAAAGGGAGATTATCCTTGGTGGGTCTGACCTAATCAGTTGATCTCTTTTTAAAGAGTCGAGAAGTCAGAGAGCTTCAAAGTGTGAGATTCTGCTACTGCCCTGGGAAAAGCAAACTGTGCTGTGGTTGAGAGGGTCCTGTGATGAGGGTGGCCACCACTAGCGAGAACACAGGGACTTCAGTCACATAACCACAAGGAAACTACTTCTACTCAACCTGCAGAAGCTTGAAAGTGGGTCTGTCCCTAACTGAACCTTTGGGTGAGGACACAGCCAGCTGACATTTGATTTTG